TGTGGTGATTATGCAGGGATGTAATATCAAGTGAGTTAGCTTACAGCATGCTAACGGCCAAACAGAGTGGACTGCTGTAATGCTACGGTCAAACTGTAATGCAGTGCAGTAACTTTGTCTTCTGATCTTGCTATTTCAATTGACTCTGTCCTCCAGAGCACTACATTGGAGTGTGTTCTGCAGTGACCGAGAGCCTTAGTGCTGTATATAATGTCTGAGTTCTGATTACATGGAAAATCCAGTAGAAATAAGATTCAGACTTCACTTGTCTGAGATTTAAAAAGCAACTGCTATTGTTTAGTTCACTCTCATTACACAGCACTTGGAGCTCTTTTAAAAAATGCCAATCTATAGTAGCTGTTAGGTGTTCTTAGAGCCTATTCTTTGTCTGAATACTAACATGTTAATAGGTTTTGTGAACCTAAGTATAAAATTGCTAATATAGAACTTACATTAATGGTTCTAATCTACGTAACTGTGCTTTAGAAATTCAGTGGCTAGCACTGGTTTCCTGCTAGCTAGGAGAATTGTAACAGATGGCTACATCTGTGATTCTGTGACTTGTCACCAACCAAGTGACAACCAATATAAGGGAGACATTTGTTTTCCATTAAGTGACTTACCTTAAGCAAAAGGCTGGTTTTGCTGCAGAACAGTTGTGATGTTTTTGCTAGTTACTATTTGACTTGCTCCATTTGTCTTGTATATGTGAAGTGATAGGAATGCGTGTTTCTGAATGAATCTTAAATCACATGATCTTCAGCTTTTCCTGTCAATTCTTCCCCTTTCATTGTCTCAACTGACAAAATCAGGTGGATAAACTCAATGATTAAAGAGCATAATTAAATCATTTCATACTGTTATCTGTAGTAGAAATATGATTTGAAATATTTACAGTTATTCTTGGATCAAATAATAGGAGAGCAGTAATGAATTGTTCACGAGTGGTAGAGAGCAAGATTTCTCTCTGAAAATGTGTGGCTTCTATCATTTGGGTTGTGATGGCTAGGGAACAAGAACAGATGGTAACTGGCAGAGTAGTAGCAGGTGCACCAGGGGTAAAATCAGACTGCTCTCTGATTAGGGCATGTAGAGACTTTCCCTGTTTCTTCTCAGATCTGCTTAATGAGACCTGGGTACTGTGCTATTCCTCTTACATATTAAAAATCACTTCTGACAGGTTTTTTTTTTTTTTTTTTTTAACCCTAACATTAGGGAGGACCTCTTTTTAGCATATAAATAGGCTTATTTCAATCAGCACAAGGAAACTTACCTTCCTCATGCACTCAGTACAGTATTGGGCTGATTCAGTAGAGCAGCGTGGAAGATGATGTGACTGCTTGCTGGCTAACATGGTAGGGATTTCTTCACTTGTTACTACATCTTTCAAATTTTGTAAGCTATTGAGATCAGAGAGCTGCAGGTAATAGAAAATCTTCACTCAAGATGAGTCAGTTAACAGCATTCTAGTTGTAGCTTGTTTTGCAAGATAGAAATTTGTGTCCTGGATGTCTACTGAAGTTGGGTACTGTGCATACTGACCAGTGCTAGGAGCTTGGGTGCTAACATGTCCTCAAATAGTTGCAGTCTGCAAGCTCTGCCAAGACAGCCAAACATTATTTTTTCTCTTGCCTACTGTATGTGGGGTGCTAGACCACAGTTGTTGAGTTAGAAGGAATTTAACAGGTTGATTTGGACATAATATTTTGGATATACAGAATACTGGCTTCCATGTCTGTCCTTTTCTTGGTGTTCCTGATTAGACAATGTATAGCAGACTGCTGATTCACCCATGTTGGTCTGCTCACTAATGCTCCTCCGTAAGCACTCAGCTGTCTCCTCCCCTGTCCCACAACAGATCTTCATGCATTCTGCATGCCTTTTTTGTCCCTCCTTGTTCAGAGGTTCATCTTTTTCACCACCTCAGATACTTTAGCTGGCAACCCCATCCATGTCTTACTGGATTGCTGTCTTTGTCCACAGGTTAGTTGTGGGCATGTCTGTTTGCCCAGGATGTAAAATGCTGCTCTGGGGTGACAAGAGTAAGCTTGGCCCAGCATAACTTTCAAGGCATGTACTACTATGTTTTTCTTCTTCACTGTTGCTTCTTGGAGCCAATTACACAGTCTTAAATAGATAGTGAATGATGACCACTGGGTTGCTTTTTAGAGGGCTCAAGTTGGGGGAGTGTTGCTTTTGATTTGTGGGACTCCTCCTAAACTTTGTGCATATTGAATTTGCACTGTGCATTTGGCAGTGTTGTATAGGAGAAGGGGGTTAGGATGCCAGTAATATGAAGAATGTACTCTTAAGTGTTGCACCTGGCCTTTTAACTCCCTTTTGGATAACATGTGCTTGACTACAAATACCTTTGTTAGCTTTTCTTTGTCAGCATTACAAGACAGAGAAATCAGCTAATGTAAAGTCTGTAACACATCAGCA